TAATTAACTTGATGACAAGTCAAATCTCACTTCCAATTCTTATTATGAACTCTAATCTAAGATTTCATTTTTCTACTTCCCTTCTTTAATTCTTCATATACTTCTCCTCTTGAGGTTTTAAAACAATTTAAACTTCCTTTAAGCTTAACCATTGCCTAATGGTCATGAATCAACCATAAATTCATCAAGAAATTCACTAACAAGAAAATCTTACCTTAGCTTGGGTCTCACGTATGAAGAAGAAGAAAGAAGAAGATGACTCTGGAAGCTTGTTTTAATTTTCTACTCTTCCACGTGGTTAACATAAAACTAACCCCAATAATTATATTGCTATAAAAAAGACAATTTTATCCTTCTAATCTTCCTTCTTTATAATTCAATCCTACACAAAATAATTCAAATAAGTCATTGAACTCTTCCATTATTCTACTTAAATCACCAAATGCTGAAACTTTACAAATTAATCACTAACCCGACATGGAGGATGTTACAAAAATAATGTCATTTCCTCGTCATCGTCATCTTCATCTGAATCACTCTCATCTTTTGTGGATTTGAGAGCAACTCCAATGTTTTTCTTCTTCTCCTTCTCCTTTGGTGTCTCATCAATCTTATCGAGGTCCACCTCATCTTCAAGCATCATTTCAAGAGTGAGGAGGGAACCGATTAACTCTTCAAAGGACTTTAGGTTCTTAGCCTCGATGATTACCGTCTTCTTGGATTGCCATGATTTTGGAAGTGAGTAAACTAACTTCTTCACAAGCTTTTCATTTGGAATGATCTCTCCATATGATTTGAGACCATTAACAATCGTTAAGAATCTATCCGTCATAGCTTTGATATCTTCATTTGGTTTCATCCTGAAATTTTCATAGCTATGTGTTAGAAGACTAATTTTAGATTCTTTTACCTCGTCGGTGCCTTCATGAGTGACTTGTAGTTTATCTTATATTTCTTTGGTGGTTTTACAAGATGAAACTCTTCCATATTCATATGGTCCAAGAGCACAAAATATAATATGGATGGGTTTGGAGTTGAGCTGGAACATTTTCGTCTCTCCTTCACTCAACAATCTTGGATGAGTGAGAGGCTAGATATATCCGTCTTCTACAATATTCCATGCTCCCATATCACTTGCTTGAATGAAATACATCATCCTATTCTTCCAATAGGCATAGTTAGCTCCATTGAAGAAAGGAGGCTTGTTGACGGGCATCAAATCGAGACCGGAGTTGACATTTGAAGTAGAGGCCATTGATGACTTGACAATCGATGTAACTCTTCCCGAATCGACTCAAGAGGCAATTAAACCTTCAAATGAGTAAGGCTCTGATACCAATTGTTGAGTTAATCGATTGATGGAATCGGCCAAGAGTGGGTGAATTGGCAATTAAAATTTTCATGGAAGCTTTTGCAGAAAATTGAAAGTAATTGCATAGTGATTTAGAGTGGTTCGACTTTCTCAACCAAAGTCTATGTCCACTACCTTAGCTATCCACACTAAGGATTTTCCAACAAATTCACTAATTTGTTCTTTCTTTTGAGGCCAAAGAGATAACCTTACAACTCCCTCAAGAATATACCCCAATTCTTGAGAACACTCTTTCTCAAAGAGAAGATTACAAATTCGCAAACTTAATGAAAAATCTCACAAGGCAAATGTGTTTGCTCAACTCTAGAACAAAGAAAAGAACACTCAAAAATGAATACAATTGAGTACAAGTAGTGTTCTTGAAAGAAAAATGAATATTGAATGAAAAATAAGCTTGAAATGCTCAAACTTGAGGTTTGATGCTTTCTCTTTGATTCTCTCTTGATTCTTATTGATTGCAGTTTCTTGTTATTGATAAATGGATTCTAAGCTTGTTTAAATACTCCTTCAAATGATTCTGAACGTTGGGGATGCTTAGTGGAGTCAATAGAGTCGTTTAAGTGTGAAAACAATTAATAAATTCAGTTGGGAGAGTTAGTGCATCGATGCATACCCATGGTGCATCGGTACATCGGTGAAAAATTCAAATATTTTGACCGTTGGACCCTTAGTGCATTAGTGAACGATGCATCAAGTGCATTCGATGTTTCAAAATAGCCAGAGTGCATCGATGCATCAAATGCACTCGATGTTTTCATAAAATCCTCAGTGCATCGATGCATGGTATGTGCATCGATGCATGAAATGCATTCGATGTTCAATTTAATCCATGGTGCATCGATACATGGATTGGTGCATCGGTGCATCACTTTAATAAATTGATTTTAGGCTTGATTTTGGTTCAAAATACTTTGTGAAAATTGTTTCAAAAATAGTTTAAGTATAAACACAATTTTACACCTTTAGTAAGGTTTGAAATTGGTCTTGAAAGACTTGGAGTAATATTTTGATATTCGATTAATTAAATTGAATATACTTAGAAAATCATTTGTAAAATCTTAAAATTCATTTAAACTTAATTTGTTATATCGAAACACAAAAATGTTTTCAACAGGTCACCATTTTCAGTTAGCAACAAGTAGTGCAAAGAAGGTGAATAATGCTGTGTTGGTTTAGGAATTCTAGAGGAGCGTCTTAGTTCAGGTGTACCTGGTTCTTCTTGAACTGCTTCAGGACTGATTTGGATATAATTTCCAGAAATCTCCTCGAACTCAGCAAATTCCTTTGTTTCAGCTCCGGTATTGGAGCTACTTGATTCTATTGACCTGTCTTTGTACATCACATTCTCATTGAAAATGACATCTCTGCTTCTGATGATCTTTCGATTTTCGTAGTCCCAAAACTGGTAACCGAACTCATCACCACCATAACCAACAAAGACACATTTGTTGGACTTGGCATCAAGTTTACTTCTTTCAGCAAAATCTATATGTACATAAGAAATACAAACAAACACTCTTAAGTGTGAAATGTTTATTTCTTTCTTGCTCCAAACTTCCTCTGGTATTCCACCATCTAATGGAACTGAGGGCCCACGGTTGATCAGGTAAGCTGCAGTGTTGATAGCTTCAGCCCATAGCGATTTGGGCAAGCCGACATGTATCCTCATGCTTCTGGAACGTTCATTCAGAGTTCTGTTCATACGCTCTGCTACGTCATTCTGTTGCGGTGTCATGGGAACTGTTGTCTCCATCTTGATCCCATTGTTTGCATAGAAATCTCTAAATCTACTATTTCTATACTCTCCTCCATTGTCAGACCTCAACCGCTTGACTTTCAAACCAGTCTCATTTTCCACCATGGCCTTCCATTTTCTGAAGGTATCAAAGACTTCTGATTTCTTCTTCAGAAAATAAACCCACACATTCCTTGTAAAATCATCGATGAAGGTGATATAATATAGTGAGCCTACAAGAGATAGAACTGAAGATGGTCCCCATACATCAGTATGAACCAAATCTAACTTTTCAGCCTTGGGTTTCTAGTCAATCTTTGCAAAACTGACTTTCTTTTGTTTGACAAAGATACAATCCTAGCATAGTCCGACATCTATATTCTTTAGATCCGACAACTTCCTTTTGACAAAAGTGTTTTCATCCCTTTCTCGATCATATGGCCAAGGCTTTGGTGCCACAGGTTTGATGTCCATCAGCATCTGCTGCAACAATGATATTCTCTAAATTTGAGGTTATATAAAGAGTACCAGTCTTCTTACCACGAGCAATGACAAGTGCTCCTTTAGTAATCTTCAATTCACAGCCTGAAAAGGTTGTGCTATATCTTTCTCCATCAAGATGTCCTACAGAAATCAAATTTCTTTTGAGGCCAGGAATATGTCTCACTCCTTTCAGCTTCCAGGTGGTCTGGTTTGGCAACTTTAATCGGATGTCTCATTTTCCGACAATCTTTAAGGTTTCATCATCAGCTAGATGAACCTTCCCAAAATCATCACTGACATAGTTCTCCATGATTTCTTGGCATGGGGTGGAGTGGAAAGATGCCCCTGAATCCAAGATCAATGATTCAATCAGACTGTTGAAGCTTAAAATATGGCATCACATGTCTCCTCTGTCATGTTGGCAGATTCCTGTGCGCCAGTATCTTTCTTCAGTGCTCGACAATCTCTTTTAGAGTGACCCTTCTTGCCACAATTATAACAGATAAAATCTTTCTTTCCTGTTCTTTATTTTCCCCTTCTGGATTTCGATCTGCCACGATTTGAATTTCTTTCCGAAGTTCTCCCTCTAGACTCCATGTGCAAGGCTGAGGAGCTTGATGCTTCACCCGATTCTCTCCGTCGAATTTCTTCACTCAATACCAGATCCCGAACATCGTCGAATTTTAATTTGTTGTTTCCCGAAGAGCTGCTAACTGCTGTAACAATAACATTCCAACTATCTGGTAGAGATGATAAGAGAATTAAAGCTCGAACTTCATCATCGAATTCAATTTCCACGGAACTCAATTGGGTTGTGATTGTGTTGAGTTCGTTTAGGTGTTGAGTCACTGATGCCCCTTCTGTCATCCACAAATTGAATAATCGCCTCATCAAATGAACTTTGTTTGAGGCCGATGGCTTCTCATACATACTGGAGAGAGTCGTCGCAGGTTCCTTTGCTATGTTGAAAGCAACATTGCGGGATAACGTTAGTCGGATAACTCCGAGGGCTTGTATGTCGAGAAGAGCACAGTCTTTATTCTTCACGCCCTCTGGTTGCTTTCCTGAGAGAGGTTGATATAGATTTTTCTGGTACAGAAAATCTTCAATCTTTATCTTCCAAAAGCCAAAGTCCGCACCATCGAATGTTTCAATTTTCACATTTCCTTCGTCTGCAGCCATCGCTCTCACTCGAATATGACTTTGTTTGGATCTTTTTCTGACAATTTTTACGAACCACCGTGTATTAAAACACTTCCGTCGATAAATTTGTATCGTTGATAATTTTTTTTACTATTCACAAAATTTACTATTTACGTGAATAGTAATAAATAGTAACATTGCAAAAAAATTGACAAAACTCACAACCAAAAACTCTTATTACCAGTTGTATTCTAGGGTGAAGCGCATAAAGGCAAAGGCAGCATAATAGTTTTGCCTGATATGTTCAAGTTTTATCCCACAGATTGAAGGACTTGTTGGTAGTTTAGGCATATCTATTTTTGGTTTTTTTCGTATTTGGATCATTTTAATTCTTTTTTTTGGCTGATTGCTATGGAACTTGATCTTTTAATCAAAGAGTCGAATGTCATTTTATAAGCTAGTTCTTATGTTTACTTTTAAGATAAAGGAACTTCAATCTTTATTTCGAACTTTCTGAGCCAACAGAAAGTAGAATACCATTGAGGGGAGTGTGGATATAACACTAAAGTTATAAATTATTTGGCGATGCGGGCGGTTCCACAAATTCCGCAGGTGATTTGTGCAATATATGTGGAGAAAGTGAAGATGACATATGCGCACTCAGGAATCGTGACGACAGCTAGCTTTTTAGGTAAAATAATCATGACAAAACGATTCCACCCATTGACCTAACTTTTTAGTTAGAAATGCATTTATTACACCATGTTTTATTTCTTCCATTAAAAGTTGAGTACTTAAGTTTTAATAATATATAAACTAGGGGGAAAAAACTTTCAAAGCTTAGAATTATATGCTTCCATAAGAATCCAACACGAGTGGATTCCGTTGCATTGTTACATTCATACAAAATTAATTCCAACGAATTTAAATCCCTTAGTTATTTTTATGTGTGGTATTATTTATTATTAAATCTCTTTCTGCCGTATTTCTTGATGTTACCAATACCGCCCTCGTATATCTAAGAAACCCTAAACCCCATCCACTTGATAGTTTTGTCTCGTACTGGTGATGGGGTGGGCAGAGATCATCTCCACCAAGTCTAGCTCCTTCTTCACTGGCCCCATATCCATCTCAAAGCTTTTGTCACCTGCCATGGGAGCAGCAGCGCCAGCGGGTATTTGATCAAGAAGAGAGTCAATGCTGCAGCTCTCTTGAAGCAGTTTCTCATCAAAAGAGAACTCATTAAATACATATTCTGGCACCAGACGGTCTGTGCTAGGGCAAAAATCCAACGGCTTGATCGAGCTCTTATCTGCTGGTACCTCGGTAGCATTCAAAGATTTTTCTTGGGATCTTGCGCTGCTGCTCGACTCTAAGTTTAAGCTTTTGATGTATTCCTGCAGGATGGAGCCTCTGGGGTACTTGGAACGACATTTCCTCTTTGAAAATTGTCTTCTTTTGGTTGCATTCCAATGATTCTTGATGGAGTTTTCTGTTCTTCCAGGGAGCCTCTTCGCAATTTCTGCCCATTTGTTCCCTATTTCTATATGGGATTGTATTAAGACCTTATCCTCCTCCTCACTCCATGTGTCCTTCTGCAGTATTTAACAGTCTCATGCACGTAAATCAATATGTACTATAACATGCATGCACAAGGTAATTTAGTGGGACTTAACCTTGATATCTGGCCTTAGATGATTGTGCCATCTCTCTCGGCATTGCTTCCCTATTCTTCCAGGCAACATCTGAGCAATATGAGACCATTTTCTCACTCCATACTGTTCAACTAACTGAATCAGCAGCCTGCTCAAGCATGCAGATATCCATAAGATGACAATTGAATTAATTTGTTTCGGAATCCATCCATGGGTCCCCAACAAAAAGGAAAAAGAAAGGTCCATATATTACCTGTCTTCTTCCATTGTCCATTGTCCCTTCACTCCATTAGACTTCTTACGACCTTTCCAATTAGTAGTCCTCCTAGTGGTTGAATTAGCCAATGCCCTATTCTTGTTGCAGTAACCATTTTCTGCTGTCACACTCGACATCGCATCCGCCACCACAAAATCAAAGGGTGCCGCCATGTAATTCCCGACGTCCGATCCAATAATAATATCGTTGGACAAGTTCCTCTGATGACAAAGGTTCAACAATCCCACACTCTCAAAGTTGTCCATAATCTGTCCATGTCCGACGCTACCGTGATCTGCTGCAGCAGCAATCGGTTTACATTCGTAAAAATCTAAACTGTTCGAGGAGCAACTGTAAGGGAATGCGTCTAAAGAATCATAAACATAAACAGGGTTTGAAGATGACCCATTGACGTGAATTTGGTGATCATGATCGAGGTGGTGAAAGTCTTGCAGGTAATAATCCTTTGAGGATGAAGATGGGATGGTGGTTTCGAAGGGTTTTAGACAGTTGTCAGACAACAACATCGGCTGCTGGCCTTGAGGAGACATGTTTTCCCCATGCTTTGGATCAAACTCCATCGTTCACAAAACCACAATCCAGGACCAAAATCCTTACGTTTTGGCCGTTTCTTGTCAGCTTTGAGTTCCTTAATAAGGTGAGAAATAAGGGAGGACATTTACTATGCTGTTTGATCTAGGCCGTCCATTAAGGCTTAATCCCATGGTTAACATTCGCGTAACATCATGCCTAATTATACTATACTGCCCTTGGTTATACCATGTAGCCTATAGGCCAAGTGGCAGTTGCACATTGGCTGGCTGGTGGTTAATTGTTACTAAAAGGGTATTTTAGAAACTACAAGGCTAGTATATTGATATGAAAAATCATGTAAAACAGTAACGCAAAGTGTTGGGAAACTAGAATTAAATACTAAAACAATTAATGACCTTTTAATACTTTCTTTATAACCATCAGAACAAAAGTGATAAATGTAAATTGTAACACACATGTAAATGTAACATTAATATTTGGAATTTTTCATAAACACATTTAAATGAAGCATCAGAAGTGAAAATGTTATCCCATTATTAAAGAAGTGAAAATCGTAAGGCATTTCTGCAGGGTCAAGCCATGCTTCCTTGAAAACCCTTGCAACTTCTTCAGACACCATTGCATTGCCTTGTGCTGTCAGATGCAATCCATCTCTGAAATACATACCAACAACCGGTTCGTTAGCAACAACGGTTTACTGTGCCTAATACCCCCAACGATTTAGTTGGGTTTTGCCCACCATTAAACCTTAGAAGGAAACTACTTAGATGCAAATGAGCCATCGCTGTAGAATTGGATACTGTGCGGTGGGTATAATTGTTGCAAATGTGTGTACACATCTTTTCTTTGACTAAGGATCTTACTTTTTAAATATGGAGTATCAAGCTTCTAAAATGTTCTAATTTAGAATACCACAAACCTTAGATATTTTCTCTGCCAACCATCTGTTTCCTGCATCTTGGACCAAATATCGATGGATCGGATACCCAGTTCTCCAGCTACTTCAACACACCCTTTAGCATACACTCCTGCATTTTCATTTGTTCGTTCTGGCAATTTCATTGCTTTCTCACCATATGTTGCTCTGTTGAACAAATTTAAAAAATATTTGAAGTTCATGGCAACCAAAGTAATATTCAATAATCTAGTACAAGAAATGCACTATGCAGCCTGCACCTTGTGAGTGTAATTATACATGCAAGTTAAAGTTCATGACAACAAACCCGTGTGATGGTATCAGCGCTGTACAAAGGCATACAGGATCCTTAATAATCTAAAAAAAAGATGATAAGGTCCGGCAGTTATGTGTAATGATGGGTGAAGGAAAACAATGTCCTGTACCGTGCATATTCCATGCGCCCTTCCTCATCAATAGGGGTGGAGTTATAAGCACAATGAGCATGGTGGGTGAACATTCCTGTGGAGAGACAATGACGATAAGTGAAAAGTAGGTCCACAGAACAAGCAGGTAGTTTCAAATGCATTTTCCTACCAGGTGAAGTATTAAGAAAACTCGGAACTAACTCCTAAAGACTGCGCTCACAAAAATCTTTGGGCAAGCAGCACCTAGAACTGTCTAGGCTCATGCCTTGACGACATTGCTATAGATCATCATCATTTGTGCAGATTAACTTGTAGCTTCCTCTTGGTAGTATATATTTTCCATTGTATTCTCAGAATGTATGAAAGCTCGTTAAAAAATGCAGAATGGATTCTAGAACGGGGATGTCAGTTACAGAAACATAAGCAATAATTAAAGCTGAAAGGGATACATCGTCAATTGTGAAATGCCCTCCTAAAACGATTGCTTAAAAATAATAGTGAAGAGACGAAAACTTAACCTTCAAATGGGCAACCATTTTTCTGAGGTTGTCCTTGCACTCTTCTATGGGGACATGCTGCCTTTCGCCAGTTCTCCCTAGGAGGGCTGCATCATCAGCCCCAAAGAAAATTGTGGTAGCAATTGGAGGTTTGCTCGAGTCCTGAGAGAAGAAAGATAAATCTGAGACTAGCGTGTAATATATGGTGCAAAAATGAGGGGAAAAGCCGGGACAAACAAATATAACAGTTGAACTTCCTGGAATAAACAAAGCAAGCAAAAGAAGATATTTAAATGTTGGTGACTATCATTAATGAAATGAACAAATCTCGAACAAGACAGAAACACGAGAACACCGAACCACGAAATTAGAGTTGAAGCGTAAATGCCAAAAGTAGATCATAGATAGATAGATAGATTTACAAACGTAAATACATATATATACATATTTCCTGCTACTTCGGAGACTATAAAAATAAGCTACAAAATGAAAATTTTGATCCCTAAATGTGCAGCAATGAATTGCATATACCATCCAATCTGTCCTTGATCTATAAAAAATGACCAAATCTTAGTATGTCCACCAGTAAAACTGAGTACGAGGGTAATAATACAAATGTAGAGATCTATCCCTCATTCTAAGAACATCAAACAAAGTTCAAAAGCAGGATCCGAAATCCTAACATTCTAAAATCCTATACTTTAACAGATCAACAACCCCATCTGCAAATTCACAGCTGTCGCTCCAAAGAAATTAAAAAGAAGTGAAGAGGTTTACAAGAGGGAAGATATGATGCAACAAAAATAGAGCCCATCTGGTGTTGTATCCACCATACCCACGAACTAAAACATCGGCCTGTGTAAACCAAAACATACATGTGAGAAGAGCTAAACTAAAAGGAGTGAAAATGGATGATATTTTATTTAGAAGAAGAAAAAAGGAAGAACCTTGCGAGAGTAGGTGTTAGCAAGAGAAGCACCCCAGCCGCCCGAGCTAAAGGATTCTTGTGTAATTGAATCTCCAAATAACACTATGTTTGGTCTCCTTCTTTCTTCGATGCTCTCTCTTTAGCTTCAGCTGTTATGTATGAGCAAAGATCAATTACTTATTAAATTTTTTTTT